ACCTTGAACCAGACAGTCAGTTATATGGGATTTGGCCTCTTAACCACCATGCCATCAGCTGGCCCTATTTTTTTTTAAGTTAAACTTTCAAAAGAGTTTATAAAATAATAGAACCACTATAAAGAGAGGTGAGAAAAATCGAAAAAATACCCATATTAAAACCTAGGGACTCAATCATTCAAGTGCATAGTTTAGAGGTTCCGTAGTAGTTATGGGCATGGAGTTGGCCTGCCAGGAGTCACACCTCCATTCTGACTCTTACTGACCATGCCTCAGTCTCCTCACCTGTCAACTGGCAGTAATGTTAGTACCTACCTGGTGGGTTTTTAAAATTTAACTTTATTATTTTGCTAGAGGGTGCTTGTACTAGCTGGAGAGAGAGAAAGGAAAGTAAAAAAGCACCTCCCATGAGGGATGGTCACATAGCAATCCCTTCTCCATTCTCCTCTTGGGGTTTTGGGCAAGCCTGCACACATGCTTGATGTGTTTCTCAAGTCACCGGGTCTGGGACTTGAACTGCGCAGTCAACATGTGGGATCCAGCTACCTTAACCACTGTGCCACCAGCTGGCCCGCCTTATAAGTTTTTTTTTACAAGGATGAAGTGAGTTAATATGTGCAAAATGCGTAGAACTTTGCTTAGACAATGCCTGGCGGTGAGGGAACAGTCCGTCGATATTTTCCTTGTGAGGCTGCAATGCCAGAGCACATAATGTTTTGTCCTTTTTTCTCACATGATGTCATCTCAGGGCATTCCTTGGCAACTCTGTGGAGCGGCTGGGTCATGACATCCACTTGCTTTGTCTGCTTGGACTGGATGCAGCCATTAGTGGGATGTTCCACGAAATGCCATGATGGGCATCTTTAGGCATGAGTCTTTCATCTTCTGCTGGTTTCCTTAGCATCCCAGGAGGGGATTTGCTTGTAAAAGGGGGGCTTCCCACTGGTCCTCCTGGTCTCCTTGATGAACCAGCTCTGGAGAAGGAGGTTTGAGAGGCAAAACACAGCTTGCAGGGCCTGTAGTGTCCGAGAAAGTAGTGAGTGGCAGTGTGGCTTCTTCATCCTCCAGGGCTGGGTTGGGATCCTCTGCACACCGGGCTGAGCCACCCCAGGCCTGGTGCTAGTTGCCTCCTGACAATTCTATTCTTGAACTTGGCCTTGTTGTTGCAAATACTCAACTCCAGAGCTGCTGTGGGTAGGAACAGAGCCTGAGGCAGACGAAAAGAGGGCTGTCGGTTTAAGAGGAGCAAGGAGAATAAATCTTCCTCGAATCCCATGCTGTGAAACTAAGAGGCCGTAGAGGTCATGTGGTGTGGTTCAACCCTCATGTCATATAAATGGGGAAACTGAGGCAGGCCCACACGTAAGAGGTCAGCCTAAGGTCAGTTGGCCAGTCAGTGGCAGAGTCAAGACTGGAAGCTATACCCGGCGTTCTCTCCAATGCACTAGAGTAGCTTTCCTGCTTCTTCACTGACTTCCTCACTCATTCATTCGTTCACTTGCTGCCTCACTGAAATCCATGGGGTAGGAAAACATACATTTTTAAAAAATTAAATTTGTTATTACTTTAGAGAGAGGTTTTTGTTATAGGGCATGTGCGCTCACCAGAGATACAGAGAGACAGAAAGCAAGAAATCACCCCCTTGGGGGGATGGCCATACCACAATCTCTTCTTCTCCATTCTCCTCTTGTAATTTTGGTCATGCACACACACTCGCCTGGAGTGAGTTTTAAGCCACCAGGTTCAGGACTTGAACCACTGTCGACTATGTGGGAGTTCAACAATGTAACCATGACACCATCTGCTGGTCTGATTTTCACTGTAGGGCGCGTGTGCTCGCCAGACAGACAGAGAGAGACATAGAGACAGAAAGCAAGAAATCACCCCCCAGGGGGGATGGTCACGCCACAATCCCTTCTCCTCCATTCTCCTCTCGGGATCTTGGGCACGCACGCACACGCGCCCGGCGTGAGTTTTAAGCCACCGGGTCCAGGACACGAACCGCGGTCGACTATGTGGGAGTCCAGCGACATAGCCATTACGCTAACTGCTGGTTCCCTGAAATTATTATTTTTAAATTTGCCACGGGGCACATGTGCTCACCAGAGAGAGAGAGAAAACAAGCCACCAGGCCTGGGACTCGAACCGTGTTCAGCCATGTGGGAGTCCAGCCCTTAACTATCATGTCACCTGCTGGCACAGCATGGGTGTTTTATAGCAGTCTTATATTTCAATCTCAGCATAGCCTCTGTGTGACTTTGGGCAAATGACTTCACCTCTCTGAGGTTCTGTGGTTTTTAAACCTATAAAGTGGGGTAATGATTGAACCCGCCTTCTTGGCTTAGCATGGAAAGAACCTGTGATGTGGCGTGTAAGAGGGTGGCATGGTGCCTGGCACGCAGCAAGAGGTACAGACATATCAGCTGTTACTATTAACTCAGTACAAATTACTGGTTTTTAATCTCTGCCCATTTCTGTCATGCGCCTGGGGAGGTGACAATGACTTAGACAGGCTCCCTGCTCCCAACAACCGCTTGGGAGGGGACTTGTAATTCTGGTCAAGTCCTGCTTAAGGTAAAAAAACAAGCCTGATGCAAAACCCCAGAGCAGCCTGGCTTTTAGCTAAAATGTTGGATTTCCATTCACCAGATTCCTGGTGCCTCAGGTCTGCTGAGGCAGAGAAGGCAGAGGAAGGGGGTGTGGTTGTTTACACTCCCACTGTTGGGGCAACCAAATAGCAGCTAGCCAGCTAACCGGGTCCAGCCTTGCCCAGGTTACAGAGCCCTGCACAGATAGGCAGGGCGCCACCCCCAGGGCTCTCTGCTGCAGCTACCACTTGTAATCAGACGTGGGCGTGGCCACAGGGTCACACGCACACAGGCCAGAAGGAGGGGATGGCACCAAGTCTCCAGCCTTCTCAACCCTGAGCTGCTGTGACTTTGGAGAAGTCACTTCCTCTCTTTGGGGACCTCTCCGGGCTTTCTTCGTCCATTTTCTTCATCAACTATTCTCGAGGCCAGATAGGCACAGTCTGGCTCGGGCAGGTTTCCCCAGGCCAGGCAGGGAGGGGTCTCCTTACTTCAAGAAGAGCATGTCGAGGCCGGTCTTAGGAACACTGTGCTTATTTGCAGGCCCCCTGTAGGGGTGAGGGGCTTCCTTTGGGCACAGACTCAGGGAGGATGTGCTTTCTTCCTGGGTAGATGTGTGGGGAGAGAGTTTTGTTT